GCCGACGGGCAAGGACACCACAACAGCTTGTGCCAATTACTGCGGGCCCAGTAAACCCACCCATCCCACCCAAGGGGAGGACATCCATCACACAGTGATCTCATGCGTGGGAAATTAACGTCTCCTACCCCTAACCCTGCAGGAGACGGGACCTCCATTTATTCGTCCCTATATCCGAGAAGACTAGAATATCTAACCATTTCTTGATGTTATAGAAAGGTAGCCTATTCTCCTCATTTTTATTTCAAGACCTTGAGTGTTGATCCGGCTAGGGCTCGAACCCTCGACCTCCCGCACAACAGTCCAGCAATGCTAGACCACTGAGCCCCAGAGACTATGGTGAGCAAGGCCCATTATGAAGTTCATTATGAACTTTGTTGTGGGCCCTACGGTCCATGAACTAGACCCCAATAATGCCCTGTGACAGAAACTGTTAGAGATAAGAGGCCAAGCTTATGGAGGCAGTGTGGCCGAGTGGTCAGCATGTTGGACTCGCAATCTGCCGCTCCTGGGTTCGAGTCTTGCCTTGACTACTACCTGGATTTGTTTCACGGTAGCTTCTGGATCAAATCCTTGGCCATGCTTGTAAATAGCCATCTGGTTTCCCTCTGGCCAGTTGGAATTCTTAATAATGTTATTTTCAATTTGAATTATTTGTTTCAGTTGTTTGCGAGGACCACAATAAAAACTACTGGTTCTACCAGTAATTGTGTGATCCAATAAAGTCATTATTATTATTATTATTGAGCTAATACTTGGCAATTGTGTTTCTATTTTACTGAGCACCTCATTTTAAAACGAATTACTTTCAACATACAGTAAAAGTCCGCACAGCAGTCAAGTTTAAATCTTCATATGTTTTGCATTTTGTTTCATATTCTCAAGTGTAACTGCACATTACCTGCCAAATCTACATTTGCTGAGATTGCATTTTTGTTGGTTGCCCTTACTTTCTCCTGCATCTTTTTCTTTTCTTCCTCCTCTTGTTTCTCCAAAGATTCTATCTCCTTATCAGGATCAATTCTTAGAGGAAGAAAGGCAACAAGATAAACTGATGTACTGTAGTCACATAATAAATGTCAGTGTTAATTAGTTCTGAAGCCTTCCAAGTAAGGTGCAAACATGTTAAATTTTCCTGGGTATGTTCAACACTTACTAACGATTAAAAATCATCCCTTGCAAATCAGGAAATAAAATATACTCTACTAGAAGATTTACAAGGAATCTGAGGACAGAGCATGGACAACAGAATGGAATTAGATGAACTCCTCCTCTGAAAAAAGGAAAACCTCAGGCATAGATGTCTATGGCTGCCAATAATTGCATGAAGTCAGATGAAAAGGTAATATTACCACTTCTCTTGTGACACCAGGGGCCCGTTTCTTGAAAGTCCTGGTAACTTAGAGGGCCCATAAAGCCATTCTCTTTTCATTCAAGATAGGGATTTTACAATTTTTGAAAATGACACAAAAAACTTTCACCTAAAGAAACAAAAAGGACTGGTTTCGGTGTCAGAGCCTGCTTCTCTATCCTTTAAAATTTTTATTTTAAAACATGGCTTCAGGCCCGTTAAGTTACCGCGACTTTCAAGAAACGGGCCCCTGAACTTCCCCTATGGCTTCCATAGAGTTGTTATCTGGAGACAAAGGGATTGAACTAGCAAAAAAAAAAAAAAAGTCTACCACACAGGACAGCACAGCTCAGTGTGGAGATCTGCAGTGCATCACATCCCAGCCAATGATGCAGAAGGAAGGCAAAAATGGTTTGGAGGAATCAGCTGAGACAACCTTAAATAATTATATGCAACAATTCAAGTGGTGTTTATTTACCTGTCCCATTCATGATAGCTACGTGGTGTCACTGGCTTCTTCTTTTCAGTTGCGGGTTTTTGAGGCTGATAATGAAAAAAGTAGTAAGAGAACAATGTTTCTCATTCATAGCTGATGTCATCTATATATATTCTAAGTGACCAAAGAGTTAGAAAAAGATTAAGCTGTGCCTCCTTAACAATGTTTTCTGATGAACCTGACTACAACTGTGTTTACAAGATAATGAGAAACATGTTGAGATCCTGCTGTGTTTTACATTTTTATGTTTTATACTGGGAATTGTGGGGAGGGGGCATCTTGAAATAAGTTTCCTTTGATTGTTTGTAAATTGCTGAGCAATGCAGTCCAGCCAAAGTCCCCTGAAAAGTATTGTGATGCGCATTTTATCCACATGTTCCTTTGTGCAATATAAATATTAAATTATTATTATTATTATTACTATTAAATATGACTTGCAAAGAATTAAAATAATCTTAAATCAAACCTGAGCATGGGGTACATCACTGCTAGCTGCAGTTCTAATGGGAGGAAGATTATCGTTTTCCATTCCTTTAGTTCCACCCGATTTCTTCAATGCCTCATCCTCTTCATTGACACTCGCCATCCAATCCTGAAGAACAGATAGCTAGGAATTAGAGCAGAGTGCAAGAAAATGCCCTTCTGCTCCTATGCTGCACTAAATCCCTCTTTCAGGTACGCAACTTTCCCACAGAAAAGAGCCCTAGATGACCCACAATTAAACCATTATTTCTTTCTAGAATCCACCTCTGCAAACGTGTATCCCTCACTGACTTGTGTGCAAAAGTATATTATTATACGACTCGGGCAGTAAGAGGGCCAATACCTAAAATCAACCAATCAAAATGCTCTATTGCCAGTCAATATTCTCTCAGCATTGGACCAGGCAGGAAGGCACTGTCCCGAATGGTCCTGAATGATACTGCACTTATGTCCCTTTGAACTTCAGTCGTATAATAAATCTCTTATTAACCAAGCTTGCTCGGGACTGTACTGGAAGAATATCGGCCATCAGTCTTTTTTGTACAGACCGAGCTGCGCTGTCAAGACCTCAGGCTGATATTCTCCCAATACGGCCCTCGCACTTGGTTAATAAGATAATTATATGTAAACAAGACACAAACCTGCAAGTCATCTGTTATTTCCTGGTGTTCTGTTCTGGTCAAATCACGGTATGTGTTAATGGGGAGTTCTTTACGAAGACTCTTACTATCAGAGAAAAAAAAAGGGAGAGACTGAAATAAATCTATTTGTGTCCTATACAGTTAGGATCTACAAACAAAAACAGCATTCAAATACTGTTGATGCCACTGATAGGGATTTCAATAAAGGATGGTTCCATGTACCTGCAGTCTAATGCCACTTACTATACCTCTCACCACCATTTGTTACATTAGATTTGAGTTGGCTACCATTAGTGTCAAGCCCTAAAAGTAAATATTACAGGTTACCATAATTATCTTCCATATCTAATACTATACAACCGAAATCCTCCTGTGACGTTATTGACAGTATATGATTTGACAATGTGTACACATTACCTGTAACAGTCAGGATAAGCAAGTCTCTCTTTCAGGTCAATGTCCAGCCAGGGGGGGAATAGCTTACCATTTATATAAGAAGTTCTCCTAGAACAAGAATAAAAAGATTTTTCATTCAAATTTTTATGTTGTTCTCCTGTGTATGATGCTGACAGGTCAATATCCAGCCAGGGGGGGAATAGCTTACCATTTAAATAAGAAGTTCTCCTAAGACAAGAATAAAAAGATTTTTCATTCAAAATTTTATGTTTTTCTCCTGTGTATGATGCTGACAGGTCAATATCCAACCAGGGGGGGAATAGCTTACCATTTATATAAGAAGTTCTCCTAAGACAAAAATAAAAAGATTTTTCATTCAAAATTTTATGTTGTTCTCCTGTGTATGATGCTGACAGACAACACTTTCCAATTTGCAATTGGGGAAGCTGTACATAAATATAAAAGAAAAAAAGAAGGCACAAAATCACAAATTAAATACTCTAGTCAAATCATTTTAACATTTTTAACCCTTTGACGTCCGCCCCTTTAAAAATCGTTCCTCCAGGAACGATGACGTCGAATGTTGTCATGGATACCAAAAATGCATGTGGTCGATCAAAAACATTGTTACAATCACTATTGTGCTTTGGCCAATCATAAATCAGCATTAAATATACAGTGCACATGATTGGCTAGCTGTTAGAGGCCGATATAAAATTTTCGTAACGCAAGTGCTTCACATTTCAAAATGGCGTCAGCTAGCAAGAGAGCGTATGTTCGATTTACTGCGGAACAAGTGAGAGAAATAATTGAAAACGATCAAAGTGAGGGAGAAAGTGATATAGACAGCAATAATGGTGGGTTATCTAGTGGAGAGGAGTTTGAATTGGACCAGGAATTGCAAGAAAGAAGCGACGAAGACTCGGAATCAAGGTAAGCGTGATCGTAAACAATGCCATGTGAGATGACGCCATGGAATTATAATGGTGAAAATGATGCTTATATTACGATTTTTCAACATAAAAACTTTAAATTATTGTTAAAAAATATCACCAGTATGTTGAAGATCGAAATAAATAACAATTTACGGCAATTTTACTTGATTTTCTTTGTAATCATAATAGACCATGTGCCTTTCTCGCGGGAAAGAAACTTGACACCTTTCACACAAACAAACCTATGAGTTTTGGACCTTGTTTCTTACATATTTTGGACATATTTTGTGTTTTATTTTGTTTCTGTAGTTGATCATAGTTATGATAATATAGTGTGCTTCAAAATTTAGGAAATTTATAAGATTTCTAATATTTGTATTTATCAAATTGTAATATTTGTGTATTTTTTTCTGAAATTTAGCTCTCAATACGAATCATTGGACGTGGAACAAGACCTTGAAGTCCCAGAAGCTTCAGAAAATGATGAAAGCTCTGAGGGCGAAGAGCAGGAACTTGCTCAAAGACCAAGAGCAGGAAGAGGAAGGGCTAGAGGTAGAGGTAGAGGTAGAGGACGACCAAGAGGAAGGGGTCGTGGTCGAAACAGAGTAGCTCCCCAGGCTAACAACCAGGCACAACAAGCCGCAAACGACTATGATACTCCTGATACACCAAACCAATTGCCAACATTTTCACCAAATAGACAATCTGGTGTACATTTAGAAGGCCCTATTCGAAGAGGAAGCATGTCAAAGGCAATTGATTTTTTTAAATTATTCTTTACCATGGAACTGATGAGGGAGATTTGTGAACATACTAATGCATATGCTTGGGCATCGATATCGAACAAACCATCTTATGGCGACAGGCATGGAGCATGGATTGAAACAACCACAGAAGAACTATACAAACTTATTGCTCTGATTATGTATTGTGGACTTGTAGATGTATCTTCCTTTCAACGCTACTGGAGCACTAAGACATTGTATCATGGGCTTTGGGCACGGAGTATTATGTCACGTCTTCGATTCAAGGCCCTTATGTCCATGATTCATGTAGTACACCCAGGAACAGAGGCTGAAAATGATAAGCTGAGAAAGGTTAGTAGCTTCCTGGACCATTTCAAAAGCAAATGTCAAGAACTTTATCAGCCTTTTCAAAGAGTTTCGATTGATGAGCGAATGGTCAAATCCAAGCATAGGTCAGGAATAAGACAATACATCAAAAACAAACCAACTAAGTGGGGCATCAAGCTTTGGGTTCTAGCAGACAGTGCCAATGGATATACGTGTGACTTTGATGTATATATTGGGAAAAAAGCTGGTCATGAGCCATCTGCAAATGGATTAGGGTATGATGTTGTTTTCAGGCTTATGCAGCCTCTCCTGAATCAAGGCTATCACCTTTACTTTGATAATTTTTACACATCAGTCAAACTCATAAAAGATCTGTTTGCTGTTGGTGTACCTGCTACTGGCACAGCTGCTGAAAATCGCAAAGGATTTCCTGATTGTATGAAAAAAGGCAAGGAATGGGCAAAAAGAGAGCAGCGTGGCAACATGAGGTGGCAAAGGGATGGAGTATGTTTAGCACAGCAATGGAAAGACAACAAGCCAGTTACAATTCTGTCATCCATTGCTGATGCAAATGAGTGGGTAATGGTTGAAAGGAAAGAGAAGGAAAACAACAGATGGCAAACAATAAGGGTAAAGCAGCCAAAAGTCATCGAAAACTACAATCAATATATGAATGGTGTTGATCGCTCTGACCAGCTACTGGCTAAAAACAATGCAATTCGAAAATGCATGAGGTGGTGGAAAATTCTTCTTTTCCACATGGTGGATATTGCAGTTGTCAACAGCTATATCTTATTTCAAATCCATCGTGCTGAATATCCAGAAAATGAGCTGCTCAAAAGACCACAGAGATATTCCCTTGCAGAATTTCGTGAGGAATTGGTACGGCAACTGGCAGGTCTGGAAGAATTTGGTAATCCCCCTGTGTCTGCACCACCAAAAAGGCAGCCTGGTGAATTTGAAACAATTCACCTACCAGAATTTACAAAGACCAAGAGAAATTGCAAGGTTTGCTACACTTTGCATAAGAAACAACTCAAGGTGCTATCGAGGTGCTCAGCACCCCAATGCCAGGTTTACCTGCATTGTACTGCAGACAAGAACTGCTTTTCCACTTGGCATTCCAAAGAATATCATAAATAGCATGCATATGTATACATATGTCTTTTGAACTTTGAATTTAGATTGATTTCACATTTTACAGTATACATACGGTTTTCGTAATATGATACATAGCAATAATTCATGATAATAATTATATAACCTATTATGCCATTGAAAACTATTTTTCCTTTACAAATGAACCCTTTTGAGAGATTTCAGTCCATTTCCAGTTTTATAAATGATGTTATCATAGTACAAACCATGCTAGCTTTGTGTACAGTCTTTATGTCAATATTTAACTTTCAGCACCATTTAGAAAAATTTTGATATCTTTGTCAGGATTCAATATAATCTTATGATTCTTTGTATATAGCTTTATCAAATAATTCTCTATCTTTTTTTTCTTGGATGATATTTTGTAATTTTAAAATAAATACACCTTTTTTGGTGTCAAATGTATTTTTGTGTGTTGCATAATCAAAAAAATTATTATATTTGTCAACAAAAATAATTAAGATTCTATTAAATTAATTAATTTTTTTTTAATTGACAATCTTCATTTAATAAGCTTTAATATGATGTATAACTTGGTAAGATTGGTTAGCCCTGCACTCAGTTATGATTTTTTAAATTGAAGTATATGAAAAAGGTTATTTTTGGGGCAGACGCCAAAGAATTAATCAAGCTTGTACTCTTTAGCTGATAAGTGTGTAGATTCTCATTACCTGTTCATTGTATAATGGATTGGATTTTAGGGGAGAAATTGTACGTTAATCGCAAAAGTGAGGGTCTATTTGCACTTCTGTTGACTTACAAGCCCAACAAGGCATCGGTTTAAGGTTACAGTGGGGAGAATTCACTGTTGATCTGTTAACACAATGCAAACCGGAAATAAATACAACCCAATATTTTCTTACTGCAAAACTTTGAGAATCTTTTCCAGTTCCTTGCCTTTAGTACACTTTCCTATGTATCCATAATCTAGGTGCTCAATAGGGACTCCAGATGTTGTGGGAGAACCTTCCAAAAGTCCCGAACCAAAATCTTCACCCATGGGCATGACCTGAAATAATTCAAGTAACAACTCCAACTTTGTATGGTCTGAACAAAATATAAGACTACACTTTCACTGAGGTAACAACTCCAACTTTGTATGGTCTGAACAAAATATAAGACTACTCTTTCACTGAGGTAAGTTTAAACTTACAACAGCGAAACTTTAAGCTTGTAACGGTGAAATAAAGCTCTAAACTTTGCAGTTAAACAAGTGTATATGTATTTGGCTTGTACTTCCTCAAAATGTTGGCATTTGGCCTGAATACAAACTACAGGTTACACTCTTGACTCAGGCCTCTATGCTTACCTATTGTCACAATCTGTTCATACTTCTATTAAATTTATTCGGTGGCTGCATATTCTGCCGAGTTCACTCACGTCTCGACAAAATTTTGAGTAGCAACGAGCTCAAACCTTCAGGCGACCTAAGCGAGCCCGCGAAGCAACCATGTGCGATTTTCTTTTGCCACATCTGATTGGTTAAATTCACCAACGTCCCAAAAGCTATCCAATCATATTTCTTGATATATCTGAGAATCGGTACAAGCCTTACAATCTTACCTACAAGAAGTTCTCTTTACTATACTTCGCGGAAGCGAGTGTGTTTCTCAGAAAGTCGATGTAATTGATTGCTCGTTTGAAAGTCAAAATGAGTGCTGCCATGCTTTGTGAATCAATCTGGATCGACAGGCCTAAATATGAAGAAGCAGAGGCACACTACCAAAGATTTCTCTCGGGAGCTGTCGGCGGATCACATGGCTTAGAGAAAAAGGTGATTAAAATATATTTCTCCCAAAATAAGACTTCATTTAAATTGTTAATCATGCCTGTACACAAGGAATCGATAAGACATAAAATGTGCTTCTCTAATCTGTCGCATTTTTCGCTCTCCAGACTCAGGCGTCAGAACGTCGTCATAGTTGAAGCGAAATGTATTAAAATTATTTTTTGCACACGTGCACATTTGCATGTATATATTGCATAAGTTGAATGCTCTCAGAAAACGTTATTCATTGCATTATGGTTACATATCCATGGTGCACATGTTGGTCAGACATGTGCTGTGTTTAAATTGGTTCAAGTGCCTATAGCCCCCAAAATATTTTTTGACCATATTAAATCTCTCTATTGCACTGAGCGAAATGCCGCAAAATTTTTTTGTTTAGTTAAAACCCCGATTTTTTATGAATTTTCAAAGTCGTGGAAAATCGCATGAATTATCAAGATGGGTCTGGGTCGAGCACAGTTTGTGATGTCATTCCAGGCTTTCCAAAGAAGTGGGTTGACTTTGTGCAATTGAAGCGTGCACATTGGAAGCGTGCACATTGGAAGCGTGCACATTGGAAGCGTGCACATTGGAAGCGTGCACATTGGAAGCCCACAAAATACTCGGCCATGTGTTCCAACCACTTCTGAGAAGAAGATTTTTCAGTCATGTTTTCTGCTCTGACTAGCAAGACTATGCAACAAAGGTTGCGAAAAGGTGGAATTGGAATTTGTCTTTCCGACTGACTGACGTGTGGAATGTCGGAGGAAACAAAATCAGCTGAAAGCGAGCGAAGTAAGAGAAAGGTCAGAAAGATTTACCAGATCAGGCTTCAACGAAGGTTTCATCTTGTTGGGAACGTATAATATTGACCGAGATTGGATCAAAGCCCCACTGCTGATGGCCTGGAATGACGTCACTGGCTCCAGTTTCTGGTTCACTCGGTCGTTCAAAAACTAAACTCGACTTTAAAAAATCATAAAAAATCGTGGTTTTAACCAAACACAAAAATTTTTGTGGCATTTTGCCCAGTGCAATAGAGAGATTTAATATGGCCAAAAAAATCTTTTGGGGTTATAGGCACTTTCAGTCTTAAAAAAGTTGACTGATCAATGATGATTGACATTTCATTGAGATGGAGATAATTATTCATGTGAGGTTGAATGTTTTGACAATAACACCCCTGAATCACAAGAATAAAGGAAATTATCACCAATGCAAGAATAGACTCGTCTTGCAACTGGGCTGCACATTTCTCACATTCTTGTCATTCATTCACAGTTTCACTCACTGGTTATTCCATTCATTTCTCCCTTTTGTCCTTTCAATCTTTCATTTCCTTTCTTGTCTTCACATAGGTTTAACATTCTAATTTCTATTTCTGTTCTTTTCACCTTTTTCAAAATTAATTCTGTTTTCCCTCAGGGTTCAAGCTTTTCTCCAGTCCAAGAGATAGCAAATGCCCGTAAAAAAATCCAACAGACTCTAAACACGGTAAGCTAATGTTTAGCTTACCCTAACTTTCTTCAGAGTCAATTTGTTTTCCAACTTCACTCCTGATTTGACTGGTGATCTAAATATTTAGTCTTCTTTTATCTGACAGCATTTTTCTATAATTAATTAGATGGTTCTGTGTCTTTGACTTGGATGATTAATTTTAATATACTAAAGAAATGTTAAGAAGGAGAAGTTCAAGCAATAGGGTTCTGCCAACTTCCAACCTGTTACCAAAATCCCAAGATTTTTGGCCAAATCCTGGCCAAAGTTCCTCCAAGATTTTGTTTGCTGAAGCTCTTAGAAGCAGGGGCTCTGTTGATGATCCTGACAGAAAAGTAATCAACCAAATTTGATGGTTAAAAGACTTGACAAACGTATTTGTCTGTTGCTGATCAAATTCTGGATTTTGAGCTGTTTTATCAGCACATATTTTCATCAAGATTTGTGCCAGATTTTGCTCCTGGCAATTTGATGTCAACTGCAATGATGTTCAGATGATTTTTTATTACTCTCTATTTAGCCTTACTTTTTGTAATTCTTTTAAGGCACCAACTTCCACAATGGCTTCTGCTGGAGGAGATAATCGCATTGCTCAGTTAGAGGAGGAAAACCGTGAACTTAAGAAAGGTATTATTGTTAATCACTATTATTCAAACAAGTCATCACAAGATGAGATGAAATATTTTCACGGTTGGTCCCCTCCCCTTCCCTCCCCTCCCCCAGCATTTTCTGAATCTATCTACCTTCTTGGGTGGAGAGAGGCACAATGACAGGGAAGTGACTTTTCAAGAAGGCAATACAACTGTTTGGTAAAGGTTCAGACTCAGATCTTGCAATGCAGACTCCATCAAAAAATCAAGCTTCTTCACCCTAGGATGAAAACCTCTCTTGNATTCAGAGTTTGACCAGCCAATCAGAGCATGCCTTCAACACTATCCGCTGTTTTAGTTTATACTAATGTTTGGATATTATAGGGAGAAGTAACAAGCTCATCAGTTCTGGGAATTAATGGGTAAACTGACCCGAAATATGGACAAGTAGGAAACAAGTAAACAGTGACCTGAAGATATGCTTTAAACCCCTCCTTTCTCATAGAAATTTCTCCCCAGGGATCTCTCTTGATCACTCTGCTCCTGTTCTGTGATTTAAAATCATTTATAAGTTCCTTATTAAGAAATTCTTTTATATGACTTTTTACAGGATAAAATTTATCACTTTTTCTTTTTCCTGCTCAGAAGAAGGAATCCAAGAAAGATGATGATGATGATGACGACTTTGACTTGTTTGGTTCAGATGATGATGATGAAAGTGAAGAGGTGAGAACAACCCATAATACATTTTAATTTTTTCTTGACCTCCTGTTCAACCTTTTGAGCTCTAAGAGTGACTAGCGATGTAAATTGTCCTAACCATACCCCCCCTGAATCACACATTAAGGTCACAAGAATGAAAGAAATGATCACTAACTAAAGAAGCCATTAATTTTTTAAGAAATTCTCCTCATCAACACCTTAGGAAATGTCCAGAGAACAGTATGGAGAATATGCATATTGATGTTAGGGTGTAGAGCATTGAACCAAATTGAGTTATAGAGAAAATCCATTTTAAATAAGAGCATTTTTGGTCCACATGCTTGGAATCTTAGGAATCCATGTTAAAACAAGGCAAATTAAAAACAAACTCTGCTACAGGACAGTTATGCATTGAGCTCGTAAGAAAATTGCTCATTTTTAGGACGTGGAGAGAGGCACAATGACAGGGAAGTGACTTTTCAAGAAGGCAATACAACTGTTTGATAAAGGTTCAGACTCAGATCTTGCAATGCAGACTCCATCAAAAAATCAAGCTTCTTCACCCTAGGATGAAAACCTCTCATGTAATTCTCCTTGTCATGCAACTGAACTTGACCAGGTCTTAACTTACAGGTATCGCATGACCTCCTCCGTTAACCAAGTTACTGTAACAATAAATGTTATCATTGATCTTCCACAGTCACTGAAGAATTAAGGACTGCCCTTCTGAAGCTCACACTGCGAGTTGATCAACTTGAAAAAGGTAATTACAGTATTTTATTTTGGCAAGTTTTCTTAACTAATGGGTGATGGCATGTTATTATTAAGAGCTTATTGTTATGCAAGGAATGCTACTAATTAACAATTATGCCACAAGCGCGCGCTGGATATGAGATGATAGATAGCCAATGAGGCGCATAGCGCCTCATTGGCTATAATCATCTCA